AATTGTTTCTAAAGTCTCAAACCATTCAAAAAGCTACTTCAACCCTTTCAAAAAAACGAAACATTATCCAAGATTTTATGAAAAAATTAGAAGAATACATCAACAAGCCTGAATCGAAAGATTTTAAAGATATAAATCCTGATTGTGATGATATTAATGAAATCCCTAATTTTGATTCATCTTTGTGGACAGATTCACAGGGCCATTTCGGTCATCGTATTGTTATTCATAACGCTAAGGCCATATGGAACAATTCTTTAAGGAACCTAGTTTATAGATTATGGGATCTTATCGAACAACACCAAGGACTTACATATTATATGTCAACGAGTGCTGTCAAATTTATTAGAGATATGCAGAAAAATATCCGCGAGAAAATGGAAAGAGAAATCTACAGGCAATCTTTGCATAATGAGACCTTATCTTTAGGCAATTTAGATAATTATGATTTTGATGCGAATGTAGCTGCTGAAATGTTACGAAAACTTGTTGGGGAAAAGGATACCAATTTTGTTGTTCAAAATGAGACAGCGCAGTTTTCTGACGAGAATCATGCCGAAACATCGGAAAATGCACATGATGATATTCCTGAAGGTTATTCTTTGTTGAAAAATTATTTAGTCCAATTTATAAATCTTCAGATAAATTTCCAATGTGACAAAAATCCAGGCGCTAGTATTATAATGTTTATGGAAAGAGCTCAGATTAAAATCTTTTCTATTGTGGAAGATTGGTCTAAAGGTGACATTATCAATGAAGTAGTAAAAACAAGAACTTTTTTTGGTTTGGACAATGCACAGTTCTTTACCAGCTTAAAAAAAGATTTCCGTACTAGCCTTTCAAGGATTTTGTCTGATAATAATTATGGTTCTAAAGGTAGTGAAAATTGGCCTGTTTGGGTTCCTCCAGAAGCATTGCTTGATCATTCCAAAGAAAATTTATTGCCATTTCAAAGAATAATTAAGCGAACATCAGCTACAATGCAATATGATAAATTCAATAACTTACGTATCAAAGGCAGTGATATTAGAAAAGATGATTCAGAGCAGAAAACAGATAGACCGGGACTTGGTGATTCCGATGTTGATGATTTTGACAAAAGAATGGATTCGTGGTACATAGATCTTCCTAAAATTAAGTTATCCGCCACATCTAAACAATATTGTATTTTAGTTGATGTTATCAAGGATTTGCTTATGTTCCGTGAACCAGCAAAAAAGGAGCGAGCAGAAAGACTGAATACAATCCTACTCGCAGCAGACTTGGATGATCTTGATGGCGTGGCAGAAAAAGTAGCATTGTTACAAGAGCAAATTCGTCAATTGGAAGATATGCTAAACCAATATAAATTACAATTGCAAGATCTTAACGAAGATGATATTAAAGAGCTACGAGAAGTTGAAATTGAATTAATAAGTTTCCAAGAACGGTTATATTTATTAATGGAGGCCATCACTGCGTCACAGAATAAAAAACAAAAGGCGGAAAGTAAAATGGCCTTAAAGGTAGTGGTAGTTGCAGATGAAGTCAAATGGGTGATGCGAGATAGCAATAGAAAGTCGTTCTGTGAATGGGGTTTATTAAATTCACGGTTTGTTTTAATGACAAAGGAAGAGAACTCTATAAATACTTTAGAAATCGATGATTTACGTGTAATTAACAAACTCCCATCGCCTGTTTTTAAGGAATTAATTTGTCCATATATCACGGATCATCGTCGCGTAGATTTTAGTCGCCATAAAATGTTGCGAATATATTGGGGACAACTGGAACCGGTCGCTGGCATTGATATTGTTGAACATTTCGAAATTGATATGTTCCCACTTAAATTTCAGATGCAGTATGATGTTGGTAAACTTATAATGATGTATATATTTCCAGAAAAAAAGAAAGAGTACGTTAATCGCGAGAAGTCTGTCGATTCCTCACATTCGATAAAAACGCCAAAATCTGCATCAGAATTTAATCAAGATGAAATTACTGATGAATTTATAGAAATGCCCTTGGATATTTTCTCGGAAGATGAAATGCCAAACACCTCAGATTCGACAACTCAGACAAATAAACAGAGCACCAAAAAGTCGTCACAAAAGTCGACAAGCACGGAACATCATAAAGATGAATCACATGAATTAGAGTTAATGAAGAAAAGGGCATCTCAGAATAAACAGTTTATATACATAAAAGTTCCAGGAGTAATACACAGTTTCAGTTATCAGGTTTGTCTTTAAAATGCAAATATTACGTCTTAAACCTTTCAAATTACTAATTTATAAAATTAATTTATAGGGGGCAAAAGAAAAAAATTTAGAAGATTTGTATGACTTTGTTATTCACATGCCTACATTAGAGTATCAGAACAAGACATGGTCATGGTTGGATTTTATAGAGCAATTGAAAAAAGGTACGGATATATTTAAATATTTAAATTATTTTATCATTTTGGTAATCGTCTGATTGATTTTATATTTTTTTTAGACGCGCTTCGAACTATTCTCACTCACGCCACAGCATTGCTTAAAGAAAAATTGAACCCTTATCAAAAACGTAGACCCATAATATCCTCAGATCAATAAAGTTTAGAACCGGGCTATAGTAAACCGGGTCACCCGTGTCAAAACGGTTCAACCGGTTGAATATGTAACCTCTAAAAATCTGTTCTATTACACAGAAAACAATTATTGTATTGTTAAATAAATACCCTTTTTTTCTTCTAAATGCTATGTATATATATATTTATTAGATTACCTAGTTATATTAACCACATGCGGTATAACATTCTTAGGACATGTTTATATTTAAAAGATTCGGGAAATTAAATTATTTACATAATTCATATTTATTCGTGGAATAAGGAGACAACTTCAGGGTTTAATAAAATTATCAATTTTTATAATTTATAAATTCGTAGTACGTTTATCGTTATTAGTGTGTTAGCCTTTTTTTTTTTTTTTTTTTTTTTTTTTTTATTAAAAAAAAAAGCTTAATCATTTAACCGTTAAAACTCTGAAATGCGGCAGTGTATGTATTGCAACTTCTATCAAATTCTTGCAATTCCTGAATATGACATTATATGTGAGGTAAACTGTTAACATATTGTTAATTAGTGCTGCTTGCTGCAAAGGCGCAACTTAATTTTTTAAATACTATATTACCGATGTCACATTCTTTTGCGATAATAGGTTGCAACCCTAGTCGCGTTATAAAAAAGTCGCACTTCATATTTGCAGCAAGCAACACTATTGTTAATATAGGATAGTTTAGTATCATTAGATATTTATTCGAAGCAAAAATTTTAGTAGTTTTTACATGCCAGTATTTTATTGTCCAGTTAATAAACACCCAGTCGATTTTATCTCGTTAATAGTAATCTGAGATTACATTTTCCTAAAGATATTAATGGTTAGAATTTTCGTGAATTTATCTACGTAAAGCTTGGTTATTCAATCAAGCGATAAACATTCTCCCATATAAAGATGTTAAGTGGTTCGGATAAAACTAGTTTGACTAGGTCTAAAATCAAATTATTATTGTTTGTGACCAAACTAGTAAACTACCCGGTTTTCACGCGAAATTATAATCTTATACGTAAAAAACGAATCAAAAATGAAATTTCTATATTTGGTTAACATAATATTTTCACATATTATAGTTAAATAAACGAAAAATATATTTTTTTTGATCGATAAAATAACTATACTTTCAAAAAAATATTTGTAATAATTACATAATAGAAGTCTTTGTCCGAGTTGTCACATTCGAGGCACGTAATTCTCACCATAATGAATTTATGTATTTGTTGTAATAAGTTAAGAAGTAAACAATGCTGATCATTTTGGTAATTACAATATCAATCTTTTGGAGGGGTAAACTAAATTGTCCACTTTTTACAAATTTTTTCTGAAAATCTTGGATAATGTTTCGTTTTTTTGAAAGGGTTGAAGTAGCTTTTTGAATGGTTTGAGACTTTAGAAACAATT